ATATTGCGAAAAGCAAAGGTTTCCAATCTTGCTGTCAACCAAAAAAACATTAAGTCTAAACAATCTCAATTTCCAAAATCTCTTCACGGCCGTCAAGAATGAAGGAATTATCTTGAGTATCGTAACAAACAGCTAGATAAAAGTGCATTTTTATTTTTAAAAAAAATTTAAAATTTGTTTTAATGAATTGACTTATAGTGGCTAAGGCATATTTATGCAACCGGTTGTTGAAAAAGAAAAAATATCTCATTATGAAAAGGAAACAAAATGCTTCAACTCTTAAAGAGTTTTGGCAACTCCAAAAAAATTTTGATTGAACCGTATCTTAAATGGTTTAAAGAAAATGAGTGCTATGGCTTTTAGGTTCTGTGGTAGCTTCCTAAATTTCAGGCAAAGATGGACTATTACAACAATGAATGGGGATATAAGTAAAGACAAGGTTTGAGAAGAATTTCCATACAACAATTAAATTTCTAAACCAAAGAATTTCGCCTATTGACTAACTACAGAATTAGCGAAAAATCAAAGTTTTTAAAGAAATCTATATTTACTTGCAGTAGCTGCTTTCATTTGGTGCACTTAAACGACATAAAGGTATATAAATAAAAAGACGTGTTATTGTCCTTAGCTAATCCGTTGATATGACTGATTTGTGATCCCTCCGCCCATGTCTACATTTTAAAGATAGGAAATGTTGGTTGAAAATAGCTTTTTAAAGAATATCTGTCCACTTTTTTCTAGGATTTTAACTAATCGTACTAATGACGACTTTTTAAAAGGTGCACAACATTACAGATGGCACTTTTTTAGCGACGGGTTTGATTTTACCTTGGAATGCTCACATGATACGGAAAACAAAATTAATAATCTCCATATGAAGGCAATCGCGTACATAATAAATATTTTTCCCAGAGAAAAGAATTTGATTTCTGATAGATTCTGTACGGGTCTTTGTTTATTCAAAGCACATGCTAGGTGCAAGGAATGCTATGCTAATAAAACTGTTCCGTATATATGCTATCAATTACGCTCACATAAGCATCCAATTTCTGGATCAAAATCATGTAAATTAAGATGCCCCTTTATATTTGAACATCTTGCATTTCTACCGAAAATTTTTAGCAGGAACGAAAGTTGGCAGGAAGAATTATAACTTCTCCCGCTCTTTTCCTCTTATCCTGTTATCCATAAGTCAAAATTCGTATATCTGTGATAATTTCAGGATTCAAGACAGTTCAACGGATGAAAGTGAGCTGCTACGAAGTGATGACCAAGCAGTAGATGAGGAAAACTCGGATACTGAGCATTATGATGGCGAAGATAGTGACCTTTACTATGACGATGAGAAACCACATCGAAAGGAGACCATGCAGGAATTTGTTGGAAGTCAGTTTTTCCTTGTACTCGTATATCAGTGTTAGCATATTTGCATAAAAATGAGCTTGTCTCAGTTTTTTCTAGTTAGAAACCAAACTATTTTACCGAAGTTAAGACATTCTTGAGTTAGAAACGCAC